AGCCTTAATTCATTGCAGACAGCGTAGTCGCTCATCTGATATTCTATGAAAAAACTTTAATTTTAATCCTCCGAAAACAACTAAAAAAACGTATTGAAAATTATAAAAAAAACTACTAGAATTTGAAATTTGTAGTGGAAAAAAATCAAGGAGTTTAAAACTAAATGCTTGAAAAATTATCTGAAGCTCTGCAGTAAACCAATATGGTCCTTCATGCCATTAATTTATTTTAATTGTAAAATTGCCATTCTCTTAAAACCGCCAGTTTTGCCAGTACGACTGACACTTCAAGTGAAATCGACTATTCAATTAATTTATTTGTATTACAAACGCGCTGTACTTTTTGGTAAAAGATAATTTAATAAAATAAATAATAGAATATTATGAAAAATAACTACTTAAAAGGGATCCTTAAACCAGATGAAGTAAAAGAATTTCAAATTAATTCTTGTAAGTAAATTAAAACAATTGTATCTTCATTACTTGGCGTTGGGTAGGAATCGACCCAGAGATCTTTATATAGAGGCCGGGATCTATACCAATCCACCACACATCACTTACGTCTGAACTAGTGTAGATACCAGTGTACAAGTGTTTATCTAGTGACCTTTGTTCCAGGTCAATATTGTTGGACAATAACTGGAGTAAAGGTTACTAATATATGCACTCATATTTGGGTATACGATTGAACTCTGACACATTTTCAATGAAAATTTCTCCAAACTAGGATACAAATTTCGATTACTGTCCTCTTCTGTAGTGTTAGGAATACTATTTAAAAAATGCAATGAATTATTTAAAGCAAATAAACTTACTTGTCACGGAGTTCAAAGACATTGCCATCTAAAACATGTCGTGGAAACTATTTTATAATTTGTCACGGAGTACTACTTATAATCGTATTTAGACAAGAAAACAGTCATCAGCTTTATTACATTGGAAAGACACATTTAATTGACCAAATAATCACATTTGAACAAAGATGATGAAGAACAAAACAGAACAAATATTTTATTTGTCTTAATTAAGCATTACAAGATCATAGTCGTTAAAGAAAAAAACCACATACATATTCTTGGTATGAAATGGAAGAAAATACATATAATAAATGAAATATTATTTATTACATGCTTTTCGGTGTTTTATAGAAATATATCAGTGATATAAAACTGGTAATTTCACTGTTTGAAACAGTGAAATTACCACTTTGATAATTTCACTGTTTTGAATTTAAGCCCCTTACGTTGTTTCAGTGAAATAGCAGCGTGCACAGTACTGGGTACCAACTTCATGACGTGACGTCGTAAATGACGTCACGTTGTATTATCATTTGGCGCGCTTTTCATTAAGTATTAGGTTTAAATGTCTTTTTAAAACGTTTCTTTGCATATAATAAAAAGAAAATTTGTTTAGTTTAGTGTAAGATCGAAATTTATTTCACCTTGTGAACACCAAAAGTTCATATTTCACTCGTGGCTGCGCCACTCGTGAAATATACCTTTTGGTGCTCACTTGGTGAATTATATTCCGATCTTACACTGAACTAAACAAATATCCTCTATTTTTCTTACACACATTTATCGTGACGCAATGTCATATTAAATCCGACATTCATTATCAAACCATTGTTCATTTCTTTTACGTATTTGATTACAGATATTTGACGTTTCGTGAAAAGATATTTGAAAATACTTGTCACCGTGTGTAGTAAATACAAAAGTAAGCGTATCAACACCTCCGTGTCCGCTTATTTCTGTATTTAAAATATTTAACAAGTTAAATGTTGATGCTGCACATCAAAGACGCCGCCAAATGATTTGAACAGTCAATAAGCATTGAAAATCGTTCTCTATTACAATTGAATATCAGAAGCACAAATCATTTTTTCCATGTTATTGGTATGTGCTCGTTGTTTACTAATTAAGTTGCATTTTTTTGTGAAAAAGTAAAACCTAATGCATAAATTCACAAAGTAATATTGTCTGATTTTATTGACCTGTCAATTATGAATACATTAAAGCACTCATTTAAATATTCGACCCCTCTTCGGTTTGGTCCGTGTAGTTTACGAGAATTAATGTGGAGTATATAAGTCATGTTTTGAAAGTCAGGCCAGCTTAATATGAAGGTTTTCGTTAAGTCGCAATAGTGCAGTCGGTTAAGAGCATGCCTAATAATTGAGAGGTCTGTGGTTCGATCCTTATTGATGAAATTCTTTTAGGCTTTACTCTCTCTTTATTTTTGCAGTATATTTTAATGGGACCGATTTGTAGTGTGTTTTACGGCATTGAAAAGACATTTATTGGTTTTAATCTGTTTCAATTTTAAACATGAATTCTGAAAACATGTTATTTAAAAAGAGTATAGACTTTACAAAATAAAGCAAAACATAATAAAACAAAACGAACAACATGAGAAATAATCATGTGAAGCTTTAATAATGTTGAAAGTATTAATAAGAATAAAAAAAAACATGGATCAACGCGGTCTCGAACTTAAAACATCTATGACACGAGATTATAAACTCGTGCTTTACCCTATTGCGCTATAACGATCAGTACACTTAGTTCATAGATACAAATTAAATTAAATTCCATCGTACAACGTACATCGCACGGAACTTTCCGAAAATCTACCGAAAATTGATATATTGTGTGCATCGACCGTGTAATCAGTATGTAATTGACAGGTTAATAAAACCAAACAATACCATGTCTGAAATTCTGAAATGTTTGTCTGTTGCGAAAAAGAGTGAAACGTCTGGTCGAAGCAAAATAAATTGGATAACAAGAAAAATTGAAATGATTAGTATACTTAAGATAAGTTCAAGAAATAAATGCCGAGAATATGTTCATTTATATATTGGTAAGAATTGCATAATGATCGAATGATTTTGAGGACGAACTGTTCTGCAGTGATCCCCCTTACTGGCTGTAGCGTAACCGTTCTGCAGAGTTTGGCGTACTTTCTTAACGGTTGAGGGAGAACCGCCTCTCTGATAGTGGGCGTGGTTTAGGCTTTGTAACTTGTAATTTAATGATTCGACACGTGATATTGGTCAAAGTTGTCCTGGTTCCCTTCCGCCCCACGAAGACTGAAAGCTAGCATACGGAACATCATATCAAATTTGGTGACAATTTAAGGCGGAGCCGAACTTCAACAGAGGCGGAGCAAATAAAGTGAGTGACACTGCCTCAGTCGTTCCACTCTCAACGGTCAAGTTTTAAAACGATCGAATATAGACTGGCTCATTGGCACGTTATTTATTATGTAGATAAAATTAGATAATGATAAAAAGAACATGATATTCATACATGGTACATGATACATCACTTCAGTTAAACGTTTATTCTAACCCCTTTAAAGCACTGTGACATGAATACACAAAATGAAGTCTAAAATTTCCTCCATTGCTGTATAGACAAATGCATTTTGTTAAAAAAAGGAGAAAATACACAAAATCAAGTCTAAAATTTCCTCCATTGCTGTATGGACAAATGCATATCTACTAGACGCCGCGGTCACGCTCAATAAAACCACTGTTTGAAGTTCGGATAAGAGGAATTATATCACAAGGGCGTATCGTAAGCGACAGGACGCCAAAACGAAAGGCCGACAACACTACGTTTGGCGCTTTGTCGTGCTGCCGCTAGCGACAATACGACGCACAAAAGGGTTCCAAATCAGCCACCTTGAATTTCAATTACAATATATTTAACCACAAACATTGTCATGCGCTCTTATGTTATCAAAAATGTTGTATCCATTAATCTGATAATTACACTTAGACAGGTCAGGGATCTAGGCATTGGGTTAGGGTTTAAGTATAGGACGAATTCATCTTGCTAACAAAAAGTTCAACAAATCTGTTTTTTCGGTATACTGTACTGACCTCTTTCTTGCGACAGTTGAGTTCTTGTGCGCTTATATTGTCTTATTTACCTTCTGAATAATGATAAGTTAGGTATTTCCAAATCTTTTCATAAAATTCGAACGCTCTTATTTAGATACGATGCAACTTGGTCCACAATTTCAATAACTATCATTGTTTAATATGTAATCCTTTTAGCAGCATGCTTCAAGATTCATGCGAATTTTAATTAAACTTTTTTAAAGAAAATGTAACGCAGAATGTTCGTTATAAATATACCTTATTTAATACAGTCAAATCGGCCATTTATCGCAGTTAGCATGTTAATTATTACTTGAATCTTGACTCTTTACTTTTCCTAAAATCTTTGTACATTTTGGTCAAGTTAGATTTTATTCAAAAATATTGGCTTTAAACACAGTTGCCTAAATATTTGAATTATACTCAAATAAACACAGTCGATTGAGAAATGCTACACTAGTATATAGTTAAATAGTGTGGACACCATTTTGTTGAAAATGTGCCAGAGTTTAATCGTATGTACACATACATGCACAGTGCGTTCACTTGTAGTTTTTGGGGGGTTTACCTAATGTGACGTCAGAATAAGAAAACGATGCTCGCTCATTTGATTCTTTTTCTTCTGGAGATTTAAATAGTGACAGCAGTGAACGTGTTTTAATTTTGCCTAATATTCAACAGAAATAACATCAAAACACTCGGCAAGGGGGGCTACACCCCCTATGTTCTTTCTATTACTTGTACATGTATTGTATCATACTCAAATAAAGTCAATTGTGTAGTTTAGTTTTTCTTCAGTATACCATTTCTTTGTTCATTAAAATTTATGGTGATTCAACTTTTAAAAGTGGAAATTCAAATAAACTAATATTTATGATTGAGACAGCGCCACTTGTGTTAAAAGAAAATGGTGGAACAAGTTTGAAGGTCAGGGTCTGATTTGGTCGAGGGTTCTCATTTAAACAGATCGCGAAAATGTGATTAAGCCATTTCAGACACAAACGGGCACCTGAGTTGAAGCACAGATGTTCTGTTAGCTAGATGGATATCCTCAAATATGGATTCAAAAAAAACAACAAAAACTGAAGCAACAACCGTTACACTCATACATACTTTAATTTATAATAAGATATAATACAAGTTTAGTTGTCAAAGCAGTGTATGTAACATATTGTTCAACCTCTACAGAGTAACTCTCTGTTAAGCAATATATCTTCTTCAGATTCAAGAGCAACAACTTTTAAACACTACCAGAAACCTTCATTTTACAAAGGGGTCCTCTTTAAAGGTTGAATTGTACAATTATATAAACGCACCTTGCAGGCGACATATTGACATCTAGGTTCACACTGTTGCAATGTCGCTTTAAAGGCCCAATATGCCCAAGAAATATTTTTATTTCTATTTCTCAAAAGCTTTGAAAAGCATGTTTACTCTGGATGTTCTTTTATAGTTTTCAAAACGATACTCATTGGTTAATTACCTAAGCCATCTTTTGCCTCTGTTGACTTTTGGAAATTAATACAGAATATAGTGATTAATGATTTGTATGGAAGTTAAAATACTTCTTCTATTTGCTACTTTTATGACACATAATTTCACACTACTTTCTACAGATGGTGAGCATAGAAAAAATGAATATTTGAAGAATTTGAAGAAAACCCAAAATAAACTATTTTTACAAAGGAGCGGATAAGCGCAGAAATATTAAAATATTTATAAAAAAACGTGGTACATGTAGTTATAACTATAATATAAATATATCGGGAATTTTCTTACTGCAGAATTATATACTGGCGGTAAGATATAGAAACATGAAATTCGTCTTTATCGAAATTGTCGATCATTTCTGTTTAATGTTAGCAATCGGAAACACCTCGGCTATTACTAATAATAAACTTAATCCGAAGACTGACGGAAAGGGCCGAAAAGTTGCCATTGATATGTTTGTTTAGAATTACTGGAATGTGACGTATCTATCCGATCGAATGTGAGCTGGTTTATGTGAAATCAACTTCGACTTAACGGTTACCACAAAACCTGTTATAGGATTTGTAACATAGTTGAATGCTATTGCATTATTTTTGAATGTAAACGTTATTTCAGGAACTTCAACACAAGTTCCTGACAACAAATATGGCGGAACATCCAGCTCTTCTATTTTATTTGTATACTTCCCATTTACAGATTGAAATTTCTTCATAGCGTCCCTCATTACAAACAAGGCTTTGTAAATATGCCATCTATCAAATCGAAACTTCTTGTCTGACAAATTTTTCTTGAACTGCACCAAACCCCAGCGGTCTTGTAAAAGTAAATTAATGGTGTCACATTGTTGCCATGACCACCACTGCGATTCAGATCCTGGAACTATTTTGTATTGCCCTTTCTCAACTGTCAAATTTTGTTCAGATCTTCCAAATTGTATAAACCAAGCCTCGTTCTCGACGGGATTTGGCTGCGCGCGCTGTGACCTTTCGGCAAGTTTCGCAAACGAAAGCGAGACTTCAATACTCCAGTATTTGTCTTCGTCACCCGGTGTATTTACAGTACCGTCTGTGTTAACTGCTTTCCTTACGTCAGGTTGCCAGTCTTGGAACCATACCTGCACATCAGGACTATCATAAGGAGATTTATAGAACAGTTGGTCCATCATAGTACCCAAGACGTTAATTTGCATTTGTTTGAAATTGAACAAAGACCCATCTACGTCCATAAGAAATTCGACGCCATTCTCTGTCGAGATCGCCGCGTCATGTGTGGTTAGTGTCGCCCATAAATTATTTTCTTGTATATAAACACCTATATACATTCGTTCATCGTCCCATCGTATTTTGAACTTCGTATCTAGATATGGTTTGGGATAAACTGAACTGCGCATGTCAACAAAAGTTTCGCTCCATGGTACCTGTAAACACAAGACGGCCCACCAAATATGTTTTCATATATATTTAAAGTGCATATACAATATATATAAAAACTATGATTGTTAATAGAATTATACTCGTTATTAAAATAGTTTTCAATTCCAAGTGAACATTATGTGTTTGGCTCGAAAGGTTTTACCATAATTCCCTACACCACTTGTGTGACGTATTTAAAAGGTCCTGTGAAATGGCCTTATCGAACTTTCTTATTAAAATGTACTTTCACTGAAAGATTTTAATAAGCTTACAATTGGATATAAAGTATGAATTCTACATAGTAGATACATATGTAGTTTCCTTCACAACGCGTTAAATCTTATCAAATAATATACATAAAATTCAATCATTTAGATATTAAGGTCTATAAATGCTTCCATTCATTTTACATGTTTTTAACAACTAGGTGAAATATTGTTTCTAACCTCTTTCCAAGCATCATCATCTAATTTCCCATCAATAGTGATTGTTTTGCCATTCAAGTGGTAAGCAATATAATTTCTTGGCAATCCCAAGTTCCAACATTCTTCCTTTGTTTTAACACATGCATACTTTTCATTGTGTCTTTGCACAAATCGGTCGAAGTAAAGTTTACCAGACGGCGTCTGGGCCGCTGGACCACTACACGTAGCGCGTATTGCCTCGGCAACGCTGGCAGTTGGTGAATCCGTATTTGACGAACCTTTTCGGGAAGCGTAACCAATTCCGATTCCTATTGCAAACATAACAAGTCCTGTAACCGTACATGTTATAATTACTTTTCTTGTCTTAACGTCGAACACGATATAACTCGGCATGATAGCTCTTTATATTTCTATCAAACTGAATTGAATAATCCCCAATTATAAATATCACTCCCTCTTTTTATACGACACATTGACACAATCGGAACGTCTTTGCCGATTTTCTGTAATAATAACCTAACGAAGACTGACGGAAGGGCTGAAAGGTTACGATTGCACAGCGATAATTACGTAGCTGAAGTGTTTAGAGCCTATAGTGCGACGGCCTTTATGAGTTATAGTTATCTAGGGTATTATTCAATCATAAATATGAAGATTAGACAAACAATACAATGAACTTCGCAAATCATTTAAAGTGAATCCTGTGGCAGTATAAACTAAATAAAATACAGGACAGTGATGGTGTTCATTGGGTATGTCCGTCCTTCTGTATTCTACAGATGTTTCTGTTGTAACCACTGGACCAAATCGGAAGAAACTTGTCTGAGATGTCTCTAGCATGACGCGCTATTAAAGATTTTCCTATCATGTATAACTATTAACATACTTCCTAGCATGTAGCGCTATAAAAGATTTTCCTACCATGAAGCGCTCTTGAAGTTTTTTCTAGCATGAAGCGATAATAAAGTTTTTCCTATTATGAAGTGCTATTAACGATTTTCCTAGCATGAAACGGTATCAAAGTATTTCCTAGCAAGAAGCGCTATTAAACATTTTCCTTGCGTTCAGCGCTATTTACATTTTTCAAATGGTACCAAAACCTTGCGACTTAAAGCATTTTTATATTTGGTTTAAACATATTTTATTCGATATATTTATATCATAATGAACAATATTCATACAATACATTTGCGATTGGGCAAAAAGCTATGAAAGCTTATGAGTTTCCTGTCCCAGTTTAAACAGTTTACATATACACAGTTCATGGCATTAACATGCACAAAATTCATTTAGTAGAGAAAATATATCAAAGACATTTTCAAAAAACATGTATTTTACAATTAACAAATACTCAACCAAATGGTCATGAAAAAATATGCAAAAGAAAAATGAAACACATTTTTATATTTGATGCTTGTCATTTTTAACTAGACCACTAACAGGTTTGTTTAGATTATCACACCTGGTATTTGTTAGCAGCAAAATATTTGAATGCTTAAACTACTTCATAACTTAGAGAGTGGGAGAAACGTTCAAGCTTTGACCCCTGTTTTGAAAGTCTTAAAAATTCTGATATTTCAACATTGCCTCTTTTTAGCGGTTCATAAACCGCCTCCGTGGTCGAGGGCTTAGAGTCGATGAATTCTAATCAAGTTACTTCTCTGGCGTGGGTTCGATCCCCGGGAGATGCTTTGGGTAGGAATCGACCCAGAGACTTTTATATATGTAGGCTGGGATCTATACCAATGCATCACACATCACTAACGTCTGAACAAATAAATTTGCTAGTATAGATACCACCAGTGTACAAGTGTTTATCCAGTGACCTTTGTCAGGTCAATATTGATGGACAATAACTGGAGTAAAGGTTACTAATATATGCACTCATAAATGGGTATACGATTGAACTCTGACACATTTTCAATGAAGATGTCTCCAAACTAGGATACAAATTTCGCTTACTGTTCTCTTCTAAAGTGTTAGAAATACAAGATATTGAGATAAAAATGCAATGCATTATTTAAAGCAAACTAAAAAACTTACTTGTCACAGAGTTTTAAGAGTCTGACTAAAATTTGTTGTGGAAACTATTTTATAATTTGTCACGGAGTACTACCAATGAATTTTATTGAGACTAGAAAAACAGTCATCAGCTTTATTTATTGAAAGATACATTGAAAAGACCAAATAACCACATTTGAACAAAGTTGATACAGAGCAGAAAAGAATAAATATTTTATTTTACTTAATTAAGCATTACAAGATCATCGTCGTTAAACAATTAAAAGAAACACACACACACACACACACACACACACACACACACACACACATATATATTCTTGGTATGAAATGGAAGAAAATACATATAGTAATTGAAATATTATTTTTTAACACATGTATGGTGGGAATGTAACAAAGGGAAAAAATATATGACACAATGTCATATTAAGTCCGACATGCATTATCAAACAATTCTTCATTTTTTTATAACATATATTTGATGTTTCGTGAGATGATATTTAAAAATACTTGTCACCGTGCGTAGTAAACATAGAAGTAAGCGATCAACATCTCCGTGTCCGCTTATTTCTGTATTTAAAAATATATAATTAAGACTGTATGTTATTTAAGAAATAATATATCCCAAACAGTGATTTTATCGCTCAATAAATTCACTGTTAGAAGTTTGGATGCGAGGAATTATATCACGAGGGCGTATAGTTATCGACAGGACGACAAGACGAAAGTCAGACACCGCACTGCTTGGCGCTTTGTCGTGCTGTCGATGTGAAAATACGACGATCAAAAGTGTTCCAAATCAGCGACCTTGAATTTAAATAACAATATATTTAACCAAAAACATTGACTTGCGCTCTTTTGTTATCAAAAATGTTGAGTTGTATCCACTAATCTGATAATTAGAATAAGACAGGTCAGGGATCTAGGCATGTTTCAAGTATATAACGAATTCATCTTGTTAACAAAAAGTTCACCAAATCTGTGTTTTCGGTATACTGATCTCTTTCTTGCGACAGCTCACGTGCGCTTATTTTGTCTTATATATCTTTTGAATAATGGTAAGTTAACTAATTCTGAATCTTTTCATATAATTGGAACGCTCTTTTTTAGATACGAGACAACTTGGTCCACGATTTCAATAACTATTATTGTTTGATATGTTGTCTGTTTAGCAGAATGCTTCAAGATTCAAGCGAATTTTCATTACACTTCTTTTTAAAGAAAATGTAACGCAGAATGTTCGTTATAAATACACTTTATTTAATACAGTCAAATCGGCCATTTATCGCAGTTAGCATATTAATTATTACTTGAATCTTGACTCTTTACTTTTCCTAAATTCTTTTCTTCAAATATATTGGCTTAAAATGCATTTGGTTGAATATTTGAATTATACTCAAATAAACACAGTCGACTGAGTAGTGCTACACTAGTATATAGTTTCATAGTGTGGACACCGTTTTGTTGAAAATGTGCCAGAGTTAAATCGTATGTATACATACATGCAGAGTGCGTTCACTTGTAGAACTTGCTTATTGATTGGCTCATTTTTTGGGGGTTTACATAATGTGACGTAGGAGAAGGAATAACGATGCTCGTTACTTCTGGAAATTTAAATAGTGATAGCAGTGAACGTATTTTAATTTTGCCTTATATTCTACAGAAAGAACATCAAAACACTCGGCAAGGGGGCAACCCCCCTATGTTCTTTCTTTTACCTGTACAAGAATTGCATCATACTCAAATAAAGTCAATTGTGTAGTTTAGTTTTTGCTTCAGTATACCATTTCTTTGTTAATTAAAATTTATGGTGATTCAACTTTTAAAGTGGAAATAAACTAAAATTTATGATTGAGACAGCATGACTTATGTTAAAAGAAAATGGTGGAACAAGTTTGGGGATCAGGGTCTTATTTGTTCGAGGGCTCTCATTTAAACAGATCGCCAAAATGTGATTAATCCATATCAGACACAAACGGGCATCTGAGTAGAACCACAGATAATCTGTTAGCTAGCTGTAAAGTTCCCTCACATAAGGAATCAGAAAGGGTTTTTATTTTCAAAAAAAGAAAGAAAAAAAAAGAAAAGAAAAATAAAAAATAATAAAATGAAGCAACAACGGTTACACTCACACATGCTTTTTATGTATGATATAAAGATATAATACAAGTTTAGTTGTGAAAGCAGTGCATGTTAAATATAGTTCAACCTCTACAGAAAGACCCTCTGCTAAGCAATACCCTTTTCAGGTTCAAGCGCAACAACTTTTAAACACTACCAAAAACCTTCATCTTACAAATGGGTCCGATTTAAAGGTTGAATTGTACAATTAAAAAAACGCGCCTTGCAGGCGACATACTGACATCTAGTTTCACACTGTTGCAATGTCGCATATAGGCACATTATGCCCACGAAATGTTTTTTTTCTATTTCTCAAAAGCTTTAAAAAGCATGTTTACTCTGAATGTTCTTTATAGTTTTCAAAACGATACTCATTGGCCAATAACATAAGCCATCTTTTGCCTCTGTTGCCATTTGGAAATTAGTACAAAATATAGTGATTTAATGATTGGTATGGAAGTTGAAATACTACTTTTATTTGCTACTTTTATGGCAAATAATTTTATACTACTTTCTAAAGATGGTGAGCATAGAAAAATGAATAATGAACCGTATTTGAAGGAACCCCAAATTAAACTATTTTTACAAAGGAACGGATAAGCCCAGACTTATTAAAATATTTATGAAAAAACGTGGTACATGTAGTTATAGCTATAATATTTATATATCGGGAATTTTCTTACTGCAGAATTATATACTGGCAGTAAGATATAGAAACATGAAATTCGTCTTTATCGAAATTGTCGATCATCTCTGCTTAATGTTGGCAATCGAAAAAAAGCCGGCTATTATAATAATCCTTATCCAATGTCTGACAGAAAAGCCCTAAAAGTTGCGATTGGTATGTTGGTTTAGAGTTACTGGAATGTGACATATCTATCGGACCGGATGTGTGCCGGTTTATGTGAAATCAACTTCGACTTCACGGTTACCACAAAACCTGTTATAGGATTTGTAACCGGGTTGAATGCTGTTACATTATTTCTGTAAGTATACTTTATTTTGGGAACTTCAACGCAAGTTCCTGACAATAAATATGGCGGCACATCCAGCTCCTCTATGTTAGTTGTGCTTATCCCATTAATAGATTGAAATTTCTTCATAGCATCCCTCATATCAAACAAGGCTTTGTAAATATGCCATCTATCAAAACGAAACTTCTTGTCTGACAAGTTTTTCTTGAACTGCACCAAACCCCAGCGGTCTTGTAAAAGTAAATTAATGGTGTCACATTGTTGCCATGACCACCACTGCGTTTTAGATTCTGGAACTTTTTTGTAGTGCCCATTCTCAACTGTCAAATTTTGTTCAGATCTTCCAAATTGTATAAACCAAGCCTCGTTCTCGACGGGATTTGGCTGCGTGCGCTGTGACCTTTCGGCAAGTTTCGCAAACGAAAGCGAGACTTCAATACTCCAGTATTTGTCTTCGTCACCTGGTGTATTTACAGTACCGTCTGCGTAAACTGCTTTCCTTACGTCAGGATGCCAGTCTTTGAACTTTACCTGCACATCATCCCCGGGAGATTTATAGAACAGTTGATCCATCATTGTACCCAAGACGTTAATTTGCATTTGTTTGAAATTGAACAAAGACCCATCCACGTCCATAAGAAATTCGACGTCATTTTCTTTAAAGATCGCCGCGTCTTGTGTGGTAAGTGTCGCCCATAAGTTCTTTTCTTGTACATAAACACCTACATACATTCTTTCATCGTCCCATCGTATTTTGAACTTCGTATCTAGATATGGTTTTGGATAAACTGAACTGCGCATGTCAACGAAAGTTGCGCTCCATGGCACCTGTAAAAATAAGACGACCCACCAAATATGTTATCATATATATTTAAAATGCATATACAAAAAATAAAAAATCTTAGATTGTTAATAAAATTATACTCGTTACTAAATTACTTTTGAATTCCAAGCGAGCAAGACATAAATGAATATGTTTTTGGCTCGAAAGGTTTTTCCCTAATTTCTTCCACCACTTGTGCAACGTATATTAAAGTGGGCTGATCGCAACATGTACACCGGTCTCACTGATATTTGACACCGTTGTGTATACCATAGGGCTTATCGTACTTTCTTATTAAAATGTACTATTCACTGTAAGATTTTAACAAGCTTACATTTGGATACAATTTCTATACAGAAGATACATAAGTAGTTTCCTTCACAACGTGATTAGATCTTATAAATAATAAAAATAAAATTTAATCATTTATGTATATGCTTCCATTCCCTTCACATGTACAAGTAGGTGAAATATTGTTTCTAACCTCTTTCCAAGCATCATCGTCTAATTTCCCATCAATCGTGATTGTTTTGCCATTCAAGTGGTAAGCGATATAATTTCTGGGCAATCCCAAGTTCCAACATTCTTCCTTTGTTTTAACACATGCATACTTTTCATTGTGTCTTTGCACAAATCGGTCGAAGAAAAGTTTTCCAGAGGGCGTCTGGGCCGCTGGACCACTACACGTAGCACGGATTGACTTGGCAACGCTTGCAGTTGGTGACTCCGTATTTGACGAACCTTTTCGTGAAGCGTACCCGATTCCAATTCCTATTGCAAACATAAGAAATCCTATAACCGTACATATTATAATTACTTTTCTTGTCTTAACGTCAAACACGATATAACTCGGCATGATAGCTCTTTAAATGTTTATCAAACTGAATTGAATAATCCCAAAGTATAAAAATCACTCCCTCTTTTTATACGACACATTGACACAATCGGAACATCTTCGGCTATTATCTGTGATAAAATCGGAACATCTTCGGCTATAATCTGTGATAATAACCTTACGAAGACTGACAGAAGGACTGAAAAGTTACGATTGCGAAGCTGCAGTGTTAAGAGCCTAGAGTGCGACGGCATTTATGAGTTATAGTTATCAAAGTGTATTATTCAATCATAAATATGAAGATTAGATAAACAATACAATGAACTTCGCAAATCATTAAAGTAGTCCAGTGGCAGTATAAACTAAATTAAATACAGCACAGTGATGGTGTTTAAGCGTTTTTAGTTTACCTGTGCACACAGTGCTAATGGCGAGGACTTCTGATCGTCGTCTTTTTGTCAGTCCGTCCTTCTGTCTTCTACAAATATTTCTGTTGTAACCACTGGACCAAAATCGGATGAAACTTGTCTGAGATGTTCTGAGCACGACGCGCTATTAACATATCTTCTAGCTTGAAGCACTATAAAAGATTTTCCTACCATGAAGCGCTCTTGAAGTTTTTTCTAAAATGAAGCGATAATAAAGTTTTTCTACTATGTAGCGCTATTAACGATTTTCCTAGCATGAAACGGTATCAAAGTTTTTCCTAGCATGAAGCGCTATAAAACATTTTCCTTGCGTTCAGCGCTATTTACGATTTTCAAATGGTTCCAAAACATTGCAACTTAAAGCATTTTATATTTGGTTAAACCTATTTTATTCGATATATTTATGTTATAATTGTTGTAGTTTTAGCAAGGCACCTGGTTAAGGTTTGATTTAATGATTGAGTTTGTATGAGAATTGAGACCTCATTTGTTGTCATTGTTTATTACTATAAATCTGTTGGGGCTAGACTGTGTACCCGTCTGGGAGATGTTAGTATGGTAACTCTGTCAACAGGTACCTGCATAAATTATGGACAAGAGGCCTGCAATTGTTGTGTTTAGGGAACTCAATCATTGGTTACCATCATAAATATTCCAGGGATCAGTCTGTTTGTTTCTGGTACAGTTACTTGATCAACACTTGTCGTCATAAATATAGAAGGCTTAAATTTGTCAATTAACACTAAGGTAACCTCCAAATATGGAGAGACTAGGTATTTCATATAAATACTGGGACAAGATTTTCTGGGGGCAGTCAATATTCAAGAGTCTAGATTGAAGATTGAAGAACAAGATTCAAAATGCAAGAGTAAGATTGTAAGAGCTAGAGTCAAGATTCAGGATTCTAGATTGAAGGTTGAAGAATAAGATTCAAAATGCAAGAGTGAGATTGTAAGAGCTAGAGTCGGGATAGGGATTTTTGAGAGTTAATTCTCAGTGACTTATCAACCATGTGTGAGGAAGAAAAACTCTGTAACTTTAATTATTAATTGTAGAGTAGAAATTTAGAACATTTTATAACAAATAAACAGTGAAATGAAATTAAGAACAGTTATTGTGTATATTTTATGTGGAATTATGGAAGTAGTAGAAATTATAAATTACGAGAGAGAAGAATTTATAACACTGGTGGCAGCGGACGGGATTTTTGGACTTTAACACGTTTAGAAAAGATTTTAAAGTGACTATCTGAAGAGACATTCATTTGAACTCTACATTATAAAATTAATAGAATGGGATCAAAGAAACAAACCGGTGCAGCTTCAATTATTGTGGAAGAACAATTCGGTGATGTTTTATCAGAAACTGAGTTATTACATGAAAAACTGAGAATTGCAGAAGAAGAAAACAGAAAATTAGAAGTAGCTATTAGAAAAACAGAACAAGAAGCCATGGTATAGAGAGATAAAATTGTGAATCATTATCTACAGAGGATTAGTGACATAGATGGATTATTAATTATAGTTGGTCATTGTGAATTTTTGTCAGACTTTTAAGTTCACTGTTTTCATTGCACATATTCATGAAGATAGATTAATAGGATAAGACTTTAAATGAAAAATAATTTTTAATTTATTGCTCGATTGGAATTAAATGAGGGTAAATGAAAAAAGAAATTGTGGAGAAGGTGCCATTAAGATTTGTGAAAATTATAACATGGTCAAAGGTATCAATTCAAGTAAATTCAAACATTGTTAAACCTGGTAAGGCAATAAATCTTGGAACAATTAACTCATCATTAGGCATCTCCTGCATTTCGGAAAATAAATAGCCAGAAGATAAAGTGTTTATGGGAAGTGTGCTAGTATCCCATAGGGAAGTTCAAGGCAATTCAATTCCCATTAGATTAGTTAACTTTTGATAGAAATGTAAAATTGACCAAGGGGTCATTATTTGGATATTTGCATGAATGAAATCAATTAGATTTATTGAAAGAGAAAGTGAAAATTGATGACTGCAAATTATCTAGTAAAATATATGATAATATTAAATATGATTTCACTAAATGGAGCAGTAAGTTAAAAGGGATCATCAGGAAGCGAAATTTAAGTTAATGTTGTGAAACCTTTTACGTTTGCAATTAAGTCTTTTATCAAACTCAAAGACTGTACTGTGCAACTGGGGGAGAACTTTTGGATGTCGTTACTTTTATCACTCAGTATAGACCCTACCTTTTAGAAAGAGAATTTCTTTTAAGGACATTTTGTTCAAGTCTGCGATGTTAAATGTTGTTCAAGTCGCCGACAGGTCAAATGGCTCGCTGTTTAGAAGTTTTGTCACAGTTAAATTTTAGGATTGAACATAGAAGTGGGAGAAAACAAGCAAATCTTGACAGTCTCTCTAGAATGTCATGTGAACAAGAAGAGTGTAGTTGTTATGATGGAAAAACAATTTTGGAAGAATTACCTTGCAAAGGATGTGTAACCTGTATGAAGAAACATGAGTCTTGGTCAGATTTTGCCGAATTTGATAATGTTGTTCCCTTGTTCGATGAGAACATAGGTAAAGGGAAAAGTATCAAACCTGTTGTGTTAGGAGTGAAACCTCAAAATGACTGTAATGTTTTCTTGTTCATGCAGCTACAAGTTATCAGATTATTGAGTTGTTTAAGATCACTTTTCCATGGAATGAATAGGACAAGGAAGTATTTTCGATATCACATTGGTCGACTTCATTTCTGTGAAAGTCTACATTCGCATGGTCGAAGAAGTGGAAGCAATCTCAACATCAGTGAAATTAATACACAAGTGGTTGACAAAGACGTAAATTCCATACTAGGTGGCGAAGTTGTTTCATCAGAAAATGAAGCTCAGGCATCTAACTTGGGTTGTCTTAAGGGGTTCAACACTATTAATTATTCACCTATGAGAATGGCAAAATTACAGAGAGCAGACCTTGATTTAGGTTTTGGGACATTGTGGGTTACTGGAAGCAAACAAGTGGTTGACAAGGACGTAAATTCCATACTAGGTGGCGAAGTTGTTTCATCAGTAAATGAAGCTCAGGCATCTAACTTGGGTTGTCTTATGCAGTTCAACATTACTTGTAATTCACCTGTCAGAATTGCAAAACTACAGAGAGCAGACCCAGATTTAGAAGTTGTTATAACATGGGTTATTGAAAACAAACGACCCTCCAGGGACAAGGTAGCTAGATATTCTCCAAACATAAGGAACTACTGGTTTAACTATGACTTGCTAGTGATGAAAGATGGAGTGCTGTTTATAAAATGTAACAGTATTCTCAACACAAGAGAGGACGCTTTGATTCTTATTGTTCCAAAGGTTTTACAAAAAGAGATTTTGGTATCTACACATGACTCAGTTACTGGCGCTCATTTGGGAATTACAAAAACTTTGTTAAAATAAAATGCAAGTTTTATTGGTTTAAGCTAAGACACAGTGTTGAAATTCATATAAAGCAATGCAAGACATGTTCATTTCTAAAACGATCTCCAAAATGCACTGTTGATCACAAAATGGACAGGGTTAGCACTGATAACAAGGACAGATAATGGCCATGTGGAAATCATGCATCATGATAGTTTGAAACATTATCATGGAAATTAAATGACAAATTGGCAATCAGATATGGCGAAGATCAACAAGCAAAGCAATGAATTACACATCAAAGAAACTAAAACAATGCCAAAGATGACGTTTGAATCAGATTTTCAACAAGTAAGAAGAGGTAAAAGGAATAGGACTCAACACATACCATACCAGCACAGAACATAAAGATCATAAAGAATCATCATGTAAAATATCTTTCATTAAGTTTTGATTTCAAAGGAGTACATGTTGGGTATATAAGGGTACTCTAAGATTTTGCAGCCATTTCGGAGTTTTCGACTATTCAGAATTGTGTAGGGAATTAATATTGGAATAATATGAAAGTGTAAAGAAAATAGTGAAAAAAAAGAGGAATTTTAAACGTTGTTCTTACATAAATATATATTGGATATAAAACGCAATCGGAATTAATTTGTGATTCGTTCAAATTTGAATATTAATTTGTGATTCATTCTGAATTGGAATATTAACTTGTAATTCTTTTCAATTTGGAATATTAATTGGTGTTATTTTCGATTGGAATATTATTGTGTGATTCTGATTCAAATTGGATTTTAAAGTGTTTTATTTTGAAATAAATAGGCACCAGGACTTTGTGTGCAAGAAATAGACAATGTGTGAAAGATTGAATTAGGATATATTATTGTGAAATAGTAAAAAAAAAAAAAGGACAACAGAACAATTATATTATATAATTGAGTGACAAAATAAGTTTCATTTTGATATTAAAACACGGTGTTAAAAGTTGAATAACTGTTTGAGAACTTTAATTAGTTTGTTTTGAGTATTCAATGTATAATTGTAGTCAGAAAAAATATTGTCGTTAACAGAAGTAACATTTCTGTAGATTTAGTATTTTCTTAGAATTTCGTATTTGAATAATGCTTATTTTAGTTAATGCAGTGTTTATATGTTAATTGAGAATGTTTTATTGTTAAACTTCTATTCATTTTGGGAGTAA